TTTATGAAAAAATGAAAATAAGGTTGCTGGTCATAAAGTGAGGTTGGGGAAATATTTGTCTGTTTTTTGAAGGACACCTTGGCAATCTGGGAGGGGCACCCCTGTAACCGAGGGGTTTGTTGTGCCCTTTGAAAGATGGCCCAATCATACTGTGAGTATTCAGTTGTTTGAGACTCACTCTTAAGCAGCATGAAGAGTCTGGCTGTGTTTTGGATATTCTCATTTTAGTTCCTGCTTGAGACATCGTTGTTAGAAATACCGTGCATGGGTAGGTAGAGCAGAGGAGAAGTAGTATTTTTCTTCTTTCTCTTTCCCCTATTTTTATTTTTTCCTGCATGAAATAAATTGGGAAAAGCTCTTTCACTGACTGAACCTTCTCAAGGCTTATCACTCAAACTCTGTCTTGGGAGACAGGCAAGCACCAATCACTTTTTAACAGACTTTCAGAATAAAATCAAGGGAACTCAAACAGCTAGGAAGGAATTTATCTTCAGTGTCACAATCTGTCCTTCACTTGGCTCTCCTGCACTGTGTGCTGTGTCTGTATGGCCTTGTCAATGATTACTATGGCATTGCTCATTTCCTTCCCCACCCTCAGACAAAGAATAGATCCCATGCAGTTCTTCTCAGTCCCTGTGGTACCTGTATTATCCCATCTTTTATCCAATGATCTCTAGCCAGAGATCATCTTGTTTTCCTCTCCGTGGCCTGTTTAGTGGCTTGTTTGTTCATGTGGTTTGGAGACTTTATAGAGCTACCCTATGACTTGAGTGCACATATCAACATTGATGGTGCTTGTGTGTATTGCAGCATATGTAGATATTTCATATATGTTTATATAGAATTGTAGAATGGCCTGGGTTGGAAGGGACCTCACTTTGTTCCAACTCTCCTGCCGTGGACAGGGACACCTTCCACAAGATTAGGTTGCTGAGAGCCCCATCCAACCTGACCTGGAACACTTCAAGGATGGGGAGTCCACAACCTTTCTGGGCAACCTGTGCCAGGGCCTTACCACCCTCACAGTAAGGAATTTTTTCATAATACCTGATCTAAACCTACTTTCAGTTTGAAGCCATTCCCCCTTGTCCTGTCACTATCCCTTGAAAATAGTCTCTCTTCATAATAGGGAACATCACATTTATACATCAAGTATTCAAAGGAAATAAAGTTTAACAGCAGCACAGTGCCCATCTCGGTGTGTTTACATCTTCTGTGGGTTGTCACCGTGCCTGTGTGTCCCTGCACACTTTGTGCAGGTCACTTTAGGAAAACAGGGCCACTTAAACAGGAGCTAAATGTAATGGTTTCTGGTATTATCCAGCCATGTAATAGTGTGCCAAGGGCCTTCCTGAGCTTTCACGGGCTGGTTTTGCTGGTGCCAAATCCCTGTGGAGCTTGCGAAGCCCAGTGGAATGTTGCTGTTTGAATTCAAACTTGTTTAGATTAAAAACATTCACAACAGTTCTTAAAGCTGGGAGGAGTTCCATTTGGGTCATTAATCCTCCTTTATTCCCCTGGCTTGATTCAAGTTCTGTCCCTCATTTGGGGCAGAATGGTCCCAGTTAGAACCGTTCCTTAGTCAGTTTTTGGTTTCAGAAATGTGTATTGGGGTCATCTTTTCAGCTATCTCACACCCAGTAGAAACATATCTACTGTTTGTACTTGCTGAGAGCTTATAAAATGGTTTGTTTCTGTTAGCAAACATGATACCCTATAAAATGAAGTCATATGTGAAATATTAAATGCAAAGTCTGGAGTCTTCAGGCATGCTGTAATTGCCTTTTAAACTTAAATGCCTGATTGTAAAGGGTCTTATCACTGCTGTTCAGCTACTTATTTCTTGGAAGGAACGTGTCCTTCTTGGTAAAGAATGATTTGGTTTTTTCCCTTCAAAGTCAGGAACAAGCTCTTAATTAAAACAGAATTATAGCCTGAAGTATTTCTAAGAAACCAGGGGAATGCATTTGGCTGAGTCTTTGCAGATTTCAATTTCAGGGAGTTACCAACGGTCCAGCTGTAGCTTTCCTGATGTTCTTGGGTGTTTCTCTGCTGAAGTTGAAGGAGGGTGGACTGGTTGAATTGCGATTTTTTTGGACAATCAATTATAGCTTATCCCTCACAGTTTAATTGAAAGTAGGTCTTGTTTGGATGCTAACTTAAGGGCATTAAAACAGGGCATATTCCAAAAATAACTTCTGAAAATAGGACTTGGATCTCTAGCTATGTACAGGCCTGATTTGACATATAATGTTGCTAATATTTTATACAATGTTGGCAGGTAGAAGTGCTTCCTGGCTGTCCCAGTGACAGTTAAAAAGGATTATTTTATGGAAATAACCTTTTCAGTTGTCTTTTTCTATTAATGTAGAAATGAAGGCAAACACACATTCTTTTGTCTCGATAACTTTCAGGTTGTTTATTAAAAAAAAATAAATTATTTGCAACAGCCTTCAGAAGGACATAAGCACTTCTCATCTACCTTTCTTTCCTTAGTAGGGCAAGCACGTGCAGATGTGTATGTCTCTAGAGAAGTCACCCTCTTTTCAGATGACACAGTTCACAGCTTAAAAAAAAAAAAAGAATTAAAGCGTTCAGATAATGTTGTGGATAAAGCACATGAATTATGGCTTTGATGTGTAGAGAGCCTGTGTCCAGATGTCCTTGAAATAAAGCTTAGGGCTTTGAGGAACAAAGAGCTCTAGAGGGGGAGGAGGAGACTAATTACTGTTCTGCCTCTAAACAAATACTGCCAAAGCTGCCTGGCCTCAGTTTAGCCTGGGCTGCTACAATTCCTTCCATCTATTGCTAAGAAATCTGATGGAAGGAAAAATCCTCTTCCGTGTGTCCCTGTGGAATACGGGACACCAACACGACTCAGCCAGAATTGCTGCTTTCTTTTGTGACACTAGAGGTTTGGATGCCTCCAGATCCCATTTTTTTGCCGAGGTCGAGCCTCCATCCCTGCAGGAGGCTCAGTGGGATGATGTCCTGCCGAGCCCTGCCCACAGACCAGGTGTCTCCAGAGCTGCTGGAGTGTCATTCCTTGGAGTGGGGTGGCACAACCACACGCGTGTGGCAGGGGAGGGCTGTGGAGAAGAAGAGGGGACTGTTGTAGAGATCGTAGAATGAGGGGTGCAGGGGGATACTGCGTGTGGAGCTGTGCCTTTGGTTATCGTGGATAGTTTCTATCCATGGACAGGGGCACACAGGAAGGACTGGGCAGCCTGGAATGGCCGTGGTTCAACTTGAATTTCCAGCCCTGCTTGGAGGCAGCGATGTGATACCCCCAGGCTGGGGTGGTGGGTTAGCAGCCACGGGCGATCCCTCCCCCCGCTCCTTGCGGAAGGGGCTCGGTTTCTGGCCCTTCAGCCTCAGGCAGCCCCGCAGTTTCCCTTTCCCAAGGCAATGCCGGGCGCTTCCATCTCAGCGCTAGTGAACAGCCCCGCGGTCTCAAGATGGCGGCGGAGGGGCGGCCGCGAAATGGCGGCCGCGGCGCCGCCTGAGGGCGGGACCCGTGCGGGTGCTGCTGCCCCCTGCCCGCGCCCCGGGGCGCGGCGGCGGCGGGCCCGGAGCTCACACAATGCCATGGGTTTGTTTTATCTGAGGCTGGAAGGTGTATTGTCTTGGTGTGAATTAGCCCTATCTGTGTGTGGTGATCCCCGGGAATAGTGGCCGGGTCTAGGTGATCTGTCTCCATAGCGCGCATTAATCCCCGTGGCTTTGTATGTAATTGTACACGTGCTCATGTTTTGGTTTGTTTGTTTTCTTTTCTTTTGTTTTTTTCTTAATTTGTATTATTTTTTCCTTGAAACTTGAAATCTGAACCAAGCCTTTGATGTAACTTGCTACTTTTGTACTGAAATAAAAGAAAAATAAAAGTCTTGTTTTCCCTCTGCAAAGTTTTCCTGGCTCTTCTTTCATAATGTTCCATCTAAGTAAGTACTTAAATATCACAAAAGCATCCAGCTGCCAACGAAGAGCTGACTGGGAAAGGGATGCTCCTGGTTCCAGAAGATTGTAGCATCATTATCACCACACTGCATTTTTGTTTGTGATATAGGCGTTTGAATGCTGCCTTGCTAGCGCGTGTCTGATATGGTGTACTGAGTTTTCCGTTTTCTTTGCTGAATTTTAAATGAAAAAATAGATTTGGGAGTGATTGGACAAAGGTATTAGAATATTTTGATCACCTAAAATAGTTTAGCCTCTCATTGTTTTGTTGATGAGCCTTTGTTTAAGAGAATATTCTGTGTGTTAGCCCATTTTAATGTAAAGATTAAAAAAAGAATGAGGGAAATACACCTACTTGATGTTCTACTCTCCCCTTATTGGCTTGGGAACTGCATTCTGCACATCACTGGTGTAATCCTTTAAACAGGAGCTACGTGACCCACAAGCCCACATGAACTCCTTTCTGCTGTTCTATTGCTTAATTTATTCTTTTTGCAAGAAACATATTTAATATAATTTATGGTGTTATGGGTACAGTATTTGGTACTGGCCTCTTCCAGAAATGGGATATCAGATTTTATTTTTTGACCACTGGCTACACTAGGATGCAGAGGAGAGCTGTGCTGAATCAACTGCTTATCTTTAATACAGCAGGATGGTCTCTGGATGCTCCAGCTCCCAAAATAATCTTACTCTTGCTCGGTCTAAGACAGCCAGATCCTCACATGGTACCTGTGCTGCTGGTATGACTAGTGCTTTTCTCCACGGTACCACTGCTATTTTTATTTTGTTGATGAGCAGGAGACCCTGAACAAGGATTTTTGGGGCTGCACTCTCACCCCTGTGTTCATTGCCACTCCTGGGAAGGAATTGCCGCTGCTGCAAAATGCCATTGCAGGGTATCTGTTCAGGACAGCATTCACGCTTGCATTTAGGCTACTCCAGGCCTGTTGTTGTGGCTTGGACGTGTCTCAGGTTTGCTCGCTGCATATTTCAAGGCTGTGACAGTCCAGTTAAAATGTAATCTCTTCTTTCTCTATCATTAGTCACTCGGCATCCGAAGAAGCCTCTGGCTCTGACTCTGCAAGCCAGTCTGAAAGCGAGCAGGGCAGCGAATCAAACAGCAGCTCGGAGTCCTCTGAGAGTCAGTCTGAATCCGAAAGTGAATCAACGGGTTCCAAATCCCAGCAGACCCCTCCTGAAACCAAAGAAAAACCAGCCTCTAAGAAGGAAAGGATAGCAGATGTTAAAAAGGTATTGCCCCTGCTGCTCTGCACAGGCACGTTATTGCCGT